CGGTTCTTGTAAGTTCGTCTGACATCCGGATCTGCCAGTCTTTCAGTTGCCATGCGATTTGTCCGCACCTTACGCGGCCCCGGGAAACGTGGGGAGAAGCGACTCCGGACGAGCGCGTGGTCAAGGTCCACAAATGTGTTCCAAAACGACCGGCAGTCAGTTATGGACCCGCGCCATCGGTAACTGATGGCACTGTTGTCGATTTAGTTTGTGGCGCATAAAAACAGCCTGCGATCAGCACACAGCTGAAGCAATCGATCCCGATTGTCCGTACGTACCGAGTCCAGTCCATGTCGACCTCCCAATTGAGTCTCAGATGCACTGAGCCTGCCCACTTGCGCATTCATATCTCCGGCAACCACCACAATGTCTGAGCTTTTAGCTCGCCGCAGCAGAGCATTCAGGGCGTCGTAAAACCTGTCTTTGACGGTGTCAGAGCTACAATCAGTTGGGGCATAGGCAGATACGATAAACAGACATCTATCAACTTGCCGCTTGTGCGACTCCTTCACAGACGTTGCCAGACGAACCGCACAGAGGCGACTATCAACAGGTATCCAGTCAAGTAAGGATACTTCCGCCCGGTGACTTAGCAAATTACAAACCCTTGCACATCCCACCGCAGCAGCCTGTGGATCACCAGAGGTGCGCAGCCGGAAGCCAGGCTATTGGGTTATTGGCCGGATGGAATTGATCACCAGAGGTGCGCAGCCGGAAGCCAGGCTATTGGGTTATTGGCCCGGATGGAATTATTATTGCACAGGGATTGATAGCCATAATACAAATCAGAAGGCATATGTGCACCAATAGAAGTTTTTAGTATAGTTTCAACAGGTATAAAAATAAATACAGTGCGAAATGGGAGCGAGTCAAAAGAAGGGGACTTATCATATGTGAGAGTTCCCTGGTAAAAGTCCGGACGGCGGGAATGTGTTTTCTTCGCAGTATAGCTGGTACACGTATTCCATCANTGACTTGGGAAGAGCGGTTGACTTCCTTGCTCCCTGCGCGCGGGAGAGTCTGTGTGTCCCGAATGGGTTCGGTTTCCGTTTATGTAGGTCCCAGTGCGTGTGCGTGGGCGCGTCTGCACGTGAATGGTTGGTACGCTGACTAGGCGGTGCAGGCAATCGATGTCCGATGAGTCAGCTTAATGTGACGTGTTTGTGGGTATGAAAAAAAGACAAGCCTCGCGATCCAAGGAGCGACTGTGAGCTGGACAGTCAAGTTTGTCGGGGACTGGGTCGCTACAGAATCTCGGAACAAAATTCTGCGTTCACGCGCCTTATGGATCAGGCTTTTGAGTTCCACAGAAAGTGGAGTGCCTCCAGAAACCTCTTCCTCAGTCCACATGATATGTGAGCATCGGACATTTTTAAAACTCTGGCTACTTTCCCCACCAACACTACCACGTTGTTTTCTGGCTGCTTTAATTCAACACTTCCATCCTCCCGCTCAGTCAAGTTAATGGCATTTGATGTCGGCGCTGCTTGTCAAAATTATCAACGAATATCTTATACTGATACATTTTCTCCTTCAAAATCGGTCTCTGCTGTCTCCGGGACATGTACGAAACCTGACTAAGGTAGTTCATCTCACTGTGGTCCTTGTCAGCGGTACGAATAAGGTCGGAAGTAGATTGCATCCCTGTAAACAGTCTACTGTGTGAAATTCCGTTGGCCAGGTTGTCGATATACTCAGTCAGAGATCAAGAACTGGAAATCTATTCGCCATTTCTGAATTTACACTAACGCAGAAACTTCCAGACTTCCCCGGATGACAAAGCGCACGGATATCACAGAGATTTGAAAACTCAAATGATAATAATCGGTGGACGTGGAATTTTTTTTGGTGTGGGCATTTTCGGAACTGACGACATTGATCAGTTCACACTCTTTGTCATCAGCTGCACCAGATTTTTGCATGCCCCATATCCCAGCCTTCTGCCATCCACTCAAGGGTTTGTAAGGAGAGGCACCTGCCGAGCTATTGTGGTAATGTTACTCGAATCCTTCCTCCAAAAGGCTCCACAAGGAATCTGGTTCATTTTCAGGAGCCAGCTCTCGCGTAAAATTTAACCAGACACCTGGGTGTATCACCTGAACCTGTGTGATGATTCTGGTTACTGTTCTGGTTATGGCTCAGTAGTTAGGGCGCGACCTTACTAACCAGAAGGCTGGCTGCTCGAACCCAGCCTCCGGATCTCGACTGCTCCTTTCTAGGCTTGGGCAACCTGGCATTATCTCAGCCTCGTGATTCCTTCTTGTGACGTGTCAGCTAGGCACCGAAAGGTTGAGGATAAAATAAAAAAGGAAGCTACAAGGACGACAGCAGTAGAACATATGGATGCGATCAAAGACTAGGATGATCGGGGATAGAATTTAGGCTGAATTCGCATTCTTAAGTATGCACTATTGAATTAGTTTACTTAATGTAAACCGGTACTCATGTGTGATCAGCGTTGATTTCTATAGCAGATTTCTGTCTCTTCTAGGGGACACGGACTCAACCTAGTTTTCCGTTAATGTATCAGGCGGAATCAAGAAGCAGTAATCCAGATTTTGAACCAATCAGATTCGTCATGTTAAAGTCATACCAGTGATCTGTTCTATCATGTCCTTTTGTTTTTGGATGAGATTTATAGATACCACCTTCCTTCTAGAATGTTAGCCAACACTCCATGCCCACTTGCTCCCCTCCATGAGGGTTTACCAAGACGGTGACCCGTCAGCTCAAACCTGCGGCTTTTTTCGGTCATCGGGATCATTGAACGTTTGTTGTTATGTGCTGGGTGCTTTGAACCGTTCATTTGTGGGCCTTCAGGGAAACGCGTACTGTATGGAGTGCTGGAAGCTTTCACATCATCTAGAGCGCAGATGACTGTCTTAAAGGAGTTGAGAGCGAACATTCTTTTAGAGACCGTCAGGTTCAATCGAATCCATGACAACTTTTCGGTGAAGGGGTTCGATTGAGTTTAGTCTGGGCCTCACCAGTGAAGAAATCGGATCTGGGACCGGCGATGACCTGATGAGATCATGTTCATCCTTGGGAAAGAGCCACTAGGCGTAATCACGTTCCCACTTCGTAAGTACCGGATATGTGATGCCGCGAGTACCACTTGATTTCCGCTTTCATCTACTACCTATCCCATTTGGTCTTTCGATTTTAGGCTGCCGGTGCTAAAAAGGGTGGTTTGGGAGCGGCCAAAGTGAAAACCGATTTTGCGGCAATCGAGTCCGCAGCGGAGAATGCTGATTTACAGAAGGAACGGCAAGCTGAGTTAACAAACAAGCTAGCGCAAGAACAACTCGAGAAAGAGGCGGAACGCATGTAAGATTGTTGTGATAGGCTTTTTGTCTTTTGTAAAATGTTACTTTGTTCACTTTTTCAAATGACCGTTCTGGATCCATTTCCAGACAACGTTCACTATATGTACCTGTGTTCTGGTTTACCCTTTCACTAGTTTATAACTTTAGGGAAGCTGTTTTAAGTACCGCGGATGTGGTAAATGATGAATTCTTTCTGTTTTTTTCCGACCATGGTAACCGCAGCTAATACTTTGAGGCTTTACAACTAGGTTCCAGGTGACCGAACCGTTTGTTGGGTAAAGTTTCACTTGCCTACATTTATGGAGGCATTCGACTTAATTTAAGCCTAATTAGGGGTGTGGATTCAAAGACCCTGTTCGAATCATCCACTGATTTTTAGAACAGCTGAATACATGTCGGGCTTCACACACACGGTCTTAGTGACGATAAGCTGTCACCGCAATTTAATATGGTGCCAACCTCACTACGACATTCCTCTCATGAAGAAGAGATGAATTAATACCCCAGGAACCAATGCTTGCTTCAGTGCTACACCATGGGACATGGGTTCATAATCGTCGGTTCCCCACCTCTCACTAAAGGGTGGTTTTGTCATTCCCTGCTAATATCCCTTCGACAGAGTGCGATGCTTTCTTCTCTGATAGAACTTGTTTGTCAATGATTCTGTAAAAGTATACGTTAGCGGATTAGCCTACTAGCGGCTGGTTTTATTAACGGGATAATTTTTCGACCTCTGTGATATCCGTCTTCTTTCTGAGCCGTCGACCGGTCTCGTCAGTTGGTACCGTGGGGGAGTCCTCCACCTTCATTCGAGGGGAATTTAATGAGCTAAATTCTCACCAAAGTTATTCGTACTAGTAGCAATCAAGTCATTCCTAATACATGCTGCCCCAATATCTGTTCGGCCATTGGGTTCCTGTTACGTAGCAGAGTGGGGGGCTTATTATGCTAGTTCCTGTCTGGTGGTTCTTAGAGTACGTTGTCTTGCCGGCTTTAGGAAGTGCTCATAGCTTCGTTGACAAGCGTCACTTTCAGCTTTGTCTGTGTATTTGTCGTGGTAGCCACGGATGAGACAGACTGGCCGGGTAGTCAGTGACTTGAGCCCGTTACCGAAATCCCTCGATTTGGAACTAGTGGACGCCATGTTTCTACTGAATACACGCGAGTGTCAATCTTTGACATACTTTTGAGATAGGATCTCACTTGAGTGACGGAATCAAGAACATTTCCCTTCGTATGTCGTTCCACAGTTCGAATCTCGCTGTTGATATCGGTAATGCGATATCACATGGGCTTACGACATTGTCTGAAATGCAAATATCTCGCAACGTGTTTTGCTAATTCAACCAGCAAAATTAAGGAGACTCTGTTTCCGAAATTCACATCAAGCGGAGGTGGTACAAATGTTTGGCAAGAGACTCAACTGAATCCAGCCAAGTCTCTCGTTTACAGTGGTCTTCCAGTTTCGGTTCGCATACAACATAGGGTTGACTGAAACTGGGAAATTCGCCTACCTGGTGGGCCCCAACAAGGGTGAAAACAGTCGGGGGCTGTCGAAAGCTTTTCAGCAACCTTGTGAGTAATGTGCTACATCTAGATATTGTACAAATGTTATTTTTGGCTCTTGATTTTGTTGCTTCCAAGGCAACTCGTCATTAGTACAATAACATATCTTCGTAACTGCTGGACCACTTTCCTCACAATCGATGCCGACAGATTCCAATTATCGTTCGTTTTGTTCGTCCGCCAATTAGAGCTTCCCTTCGTCTGGCCTACAAAGAGGTTGCGGATGAACGAGACAAACGCGAAACGGCGCTCAAATCCGTTGATCCCAAGCGTGCAGAGCAGGTGGAACGACTGGGAATGAGTGGTGCAAATCTGAACACAAGGTAAGGAGTTGTCGTTCCGCTAGGCAATTACCTTGTACACTTGTTGTCTGAACTCCAAACTTCAGGTCTTTGGCAGTCGATCACAATTCCTACATCATTTTTTTCTGACTGATTTTGGGCTGCTCCCTTCGTTAGGCCTGTTTTCTGTTCGATTTCATCCATTTAATTCGGTGTCAGTAGGACGTTTACAAACCTGCCGCGGGGTCTGATAGACCGAAAATATAAGGTTTTCTGATATAGAGGCTATTACCATATTGAAATCACAATTAGCCACCAATTTTCCTTATCAGTTTTGAGGTTTATTCTAAGCTGTTTTCGGGGGTCTTTAGTGTTTTGGTTATTGTTGCTGGCTGTGGAGATGCATGGACAATATCTAGGACCCTTGGAAAGATTCAACCGTAGGTGTCCAACAAAGTGTGACAGCCGCTGAAGGAAGTGCATAACCGATATAGCATCGGTCGCTGCGTAAATTTGTCACCCTCGTGTGATGAGAGAGCTTGCGTATTGCAATCATCCCGCGGGTTACACCAGCTGGAATCTCGTTTCACAAGGTGCAAGCATGCCAGGAAGGCCGAAGGGTCAGTCAGACTAAAAGCAGTGAGACCCCTTACTTCGGGTAATCGTAATTTGGCGTGGTTCGGGGGTAAAGTCATCCCATTTTCTGCGGTGTAAGAGTTCAGGAAGTAAGGTGTTCTCCCTTGACTAGCATGTCCGTTTTTATGGAAGTTGTAATGTTATATTCTATTCCATCGAACAGGTTAAACTATTGAGTCATCCACTCCGGGCAGGGTCCCTCAAGAAAATCCTAATGCCCGCTTTCTCAGGGATCACTCTCTTAGGTAGGAGACTAGAAGTAGGGTCCCCAAACAAAACCCTACATCCCCCTTATGCCTTATGGGTCAGATTTTCGAGTCGAAGGTTCAAAATAGCGTAGCCCAACTGAAAGGTCCTCCTCTATTTGAGCAGCCGTAAAGTGTCGTTTTGCCCGCACGGTTCTTTGTCCACCGATGTCCCTAGCCAACCTTTTCCCATCCTACATGCAGACTTCGCTGGATCCTTTGATTTGCGATTATTCGATGGATGTGTTGTACCCGCTCCACTGTTCATAAACGGTCGATAGCCGACGACCGTTTCCCACCATTCTTGGGATTCATCGAGTAGGAACAGTTCACGTTTTTCTGTTTAGCTAAAGACGACATTTCCATCGGGACCGGGAAGGTCAGAGCAGCTTTTGTCAACCTATATCGTCTGTAGTCCGGGCATGACGTAATGTTTTCTCTCAAGGGTCGGGTTTAGAATGTTGCGGTACCCTCCATATTGTTGTGTTGGTCAGAAACTTGGCCTCTGCGAGCTTGGGATGTTAGAAAACTTTCAGAGTTTGACCACAGGTGTCTTTGGAGCGTCTTTCGAGTCTGATGGGATCATCGGATGTACGTTCACTGGTTTTCGGGAGAGATAACGTGCCCACGATATATGAATTCATGGTAGGTTACGCTTGCTTGCTCACGTGCTCCGTAATCTAATCGACGAACTTCGTCAGAGAACCATTTTTGCACAACCACGCGAAGGTTGGAAATGAGCCAGTGGATGTGAAGCGATGACTTAATAACAAAGTATGAAAGCCATTACTAGCAAACTCAGCCGCACTGGTCATTGCCATCTACCTGGATGTGGACCCTGACACGGGACACGCCAAACACGGCCCAGTCACTTGCTCATTGGCGTAGGTGCATCCAAGTTGTTGCCATGGCGAACTTCAATAGATTTTTCCGTGATTTAAACGTCTCCTTAAACAGACCGGACAGATCTGTGTATCGGAAACCAACCAGCAGGATAGATCCTGCTGTCATGCGTCACTTTCTCCGCACACTATTCCGTTGAAATGCAGCATCATTCGAGTCTCCATCGGGGCGGAGTGTGTATTTTAGGTTAGTACCGTCATTCGATAGATGTGCAGTACTCATTGAGTGTTTATTCAAAGACAGCTGAAATCGGTGCGGATTGAGTCGATGGTTGTAGCCAGTGTTGCCTATTGACCTGTTTGCGTCAGGTGCACCATGTGCTGGTCAATGAGGCAAATCTAGTAGACCAAATTCCACAGATATATGCTAGTGGTTCGTAGAAATGAATCGATGCCTGCAGAGGTTGGGTAAGAATGTGCAGTTTGATAGTAGGAAAGTCGCGGTAGTTTGCTTAAAGCGTGATATGTTATGTTGGAAATGGCTGTATTTCTTGTTTCACACAAATCTTGTGCTTACTAATTGCTCACTGGGAAAAAGTACTTATCTTATGGAAATCCTGTGAAGCCTCCGGTTCTAAGCAGCCTGAAGACTGGATCCCGCAGTCTAGTAAGACCCAATGACGATTTCCAGTTCATGAGCCCTGCAAATGGGTGCAAGACATCCAGGGTGCATCCCTCTTGAGAACCAGTCGATCTTGCGCAACGCAGATGAATTTGGGACCAGGTCATTTTGCCGTCTTTTGGGAAACGCTCTTCGGGAACTACCTTGCAGGAGACATCAGCATATCTACAATGTTTATATTTAGTTAGCCCTTGGATTGGGTCTTGTTGTGGCGCTTTCAATCCCCCTTCCTTTTCTATATGCCAACAGAACCGGAATAGGACATTCTGCATTTTCCAACGTTCAGAAAATCGAGCAAGAAGGCGTTACTCCCACCAGCGGAATTAACACCAATCGTTCGTCAGCCATTACATCATCTAACATGGATCCGTACTTCTCTACCACTGGTTTCGGGTCCAGTAATCGGATTCTTGACTCGTATGGCGGATCGTCGCAATCCAAGGCCGATGATTTGTTCGGTATGAATATGTGTCCGTGTGCATTCATACTTGCCTTCTAATACGTTTAAAAAAACATGCTAGTTGTTCTTTCGCTATCAGCGCACTGTTACTCACATTTTTGAAACCGCGAAATCCACTCACTCTGTTGTGCACACTTTACAGGTCGACAACCCAAGAGCTCCGCCAGTTCGTGGCTGGATGAATGGACCGTAATCAAAAGCCCCAACGAATCCGCTGCGCGTCTAAATGACTTCAATGACCGTTCAAGTGGAGACCGTTCTTACCTCACGGCTCCGGAGGATAACGGTGCCACATCGGACTGGAGCCGTTCAGCACCTAGCAGACCTCGACCCGATCCGATCAGCTCCCGACAGGAAGCTTCGAGTGAGCAATCCGAAGCACTTCGAACTAAATTTGCTAACGCGACTGCCATATCTTCCGACACGTACTTTGGTCGAACCGAGGTAAAGATCATGGTCATGCCGAATTTTCCCATCTCTGCTTTGAATCATTCCTCCTCATATTATTCGGTATCTAGGGCATATTCATTGTCGGTGCATGCAACTCCACACACTGCCATGGGCGTGTTTCTATTCCGCCAACCGTGTAGTTGTCTACGAATTCGATGAAAGCACTTCATAGGCCCACAAACTCCTCCACGAAAAGCTTGCACACGCAGGTCTTCATATGCCTTGTTAGGTCTGCTCTTCAGTTCGCCTCATGCTCAGTCTAATGAAGAATGTAATTAATTTTTGTTGCGAATATTGCAGTTACGAAGGATACCTATTTCAAATTACTGAACTATTTCACTAATTTAATCTGAACGTAAAGTTGACTCGGAAATCGACTCAAAGAGGACCGCGTGATCGAACCCACTGGCAGATCCGTAGTTGTGGCAACAACACATGTTCTCCCCTTAGCAGACGAAAATCACCCCTAGGTACAATGGTCGAAGTAATGAGCTTAAGCATAAAATCCGGCCCACAAAACGAAACGTTCTGGAGATGAAGTAGACAGGGAGTTGGAAGTGAATACTGAGAAAATCTGAATTTTAACTAGAAAAATTTCACTTGGGCGGGAGAAATAGGGCGAAAATGAGAGCGTGGGAAAATGGTGCACAGACTTAACATGGTAAGCAACATTTCGCTTGTTGACGAACATCAGGCCGATGAGGAAAGGGCGAAAGAGGGAGATCGATTTCCACCTAATTTACGTCTGATGAGCAACTGAAGCCAACGGACTTATACTAAAGGCTCATTCTGCGTTCACAAAGGGGAAGTGGCGTGCCTTATCCTGATGGTGGCAGAATTCACAATACACGTTGCTTGGTATGTGGTTTGTTAGACTGTAGTTATGTTAAAAGAAGGGAGTTTGTCAAGTTGTTCAGCTTAATCGTTTACTGTTTTGCATCCTGTTTTATTGGAAATGCCAATACAGTACGAAGTCATGTCTCAGTCGGTCGATTCCGATGTGAAAGATTCTCCTATTTGTTTGATATTGGTTACTGTTCTTGCCTTTTCGTATTTCTAGCCTGGTGATCTGGATATCAGTCGATTTCAAGGCAGCTCCTCGATTTCCAGTGATGATTACTTTGGACGAGCACGGCCCCAACAATCATTCCAGATTTCCGACGAAATGCAGTCGATAAAGGATGGTGTCCGTCAGGGTGTCACCAAGGTTGCCACCCGACTGTCTTCTTTGGCTAGTGGTGTCGTCACGTCGCTTCAGGTGAGCTCTTGCAAATGTATTTCTCACCTCTTCGGTTCTATAAAAATAGCGCATTTATTAACTAACACTTTTGGTTTAAGACAGGGTGATGCAGATCAGTTGTTAAACTATTCTAGGTCGTTATTTTCATGGTCTGAGATCGATCGGCGAGTTCTGGCTTCG